GTCCAGGTGTTGTTTCTATGGTCCAGGTGTTGTTTCTATGGTCCAGGTGTTGTTTCTATGGTCCAGGTGTTGTTTCTATGGTCCAGGTGTTGTTTCTACGGTCCAGGTGTTGTTTCTATGGTCCAGGTGTTGTTTCTACGGTCCATGTCTTGTTTATTTGAGGAGAAATACAAAGAAAAGCATTGTTAGAAATAATTACAACTAAAACCATTAACTGTAAGGCAAATGAAAACGGCAGCAGAGGGAGATGTGGTCAGTTTGTCCTCCAGTCTAATCCTATAGCAACATAACTACGGGATACCTCAGGAAACCCAAGCCAACCCTGAAAATGTAATTTATCAAAAAGGAAAGTCATAAATCTGGACTTAAAAGTAGACGTGTTTATTTATGCATGCATGCATGCATGCATGCAAAAAAAAAACTTTTCAACTTTGGGGAAAAAAAAGGACACCGTGTGAAGGCTGTTTAAAAAAACTAAGTCTGTTTGAGTCCTCCTCGTGTTTATGAAGTAAAAAGCTGAACGTAAATTATCCACCTGCAGGGAACCAAAACTGTTGTCTGCTTCTGTGTGCATCATCCTTTTCATAGCGTGTACTGAAGCTGTCAGCTGTTGACCTGAAAAAGAAAAAACGATTTCATTGAACAATGTAAAATAGAATAGAATGTTTTTGGATCTCACCGGAGGACATTGACTGATTACAGTGACCTCGAGAGCATCTGTAGGCGTTGTTGACCGGTCTCGTCTCCTTCTTCCTGCTCTGCTCTGCAGAATGTCTACGTAAATATGTGCTTGTTTGTGCGAAGTGTTTTTTCAATATTAGGGGTTTTTCTCATCCAAGAAAAAAGTCTGATAGGAATTTTTTTCGCCTCCAATTTCCTACATGTGTTCAGTTGACCACTGTTTTTTGTCTGTCCTAACAGGTCTCACTTGTAATTGAGTCTTCGAGGCTCAATGTGATTTATCTGTTTAAATAAAGGTTGAATGAATGAATGAAAAAATATATATATTTGCAAAATAAAATATTTGCTTTACTTGGTTAATGTGATTTTTGCTCCTGAACCTCGGCGCACAGTGTCTGCACATCAGAACTGTAAGACGTCACCTTCGTCTTCACACAGGATTGTAAGATGTTGTTTGAGGCGTGAACCGTGTTTGTTTTTAACACAGTTCATGCTGGAGAATCCCTGCTCACATACGTATGTGGCTCCAAAGATGGACCGGACTCCAAATGTATATTTTTTCATCTTTATATAAGTGTTGATGGCATTTCATGTTTGAAACATAAGTTTGTGTAACAAGGTCGAGTCAGGTCCTCTGGATGGATTCTTTTTTGCTGAAATGTTTCGTCTTTTATCCAAAAGACTTCTTCTGTCTGGATGATAACTACACCGAAACACCTTCAGGCTCAAATCACAGGCAAATTCAGAAAATGTATTTTGCTGTCCTCTAGATCAGATCAGTCCTGGTCCTCGAGGATCTTTTAGTTGTTTCCCTACTTGTTAGCCTATCTTTAAGTTCTGCCTGTTAGCCATTCATTCATATCATATGTTTCAAAGCAGAGAAACATCTAACACATGCAGAATAGCAGCTCTGAGGACCAGGATTGGACACACCTGCTCTAGATTTTTTTCTAAACAAATGACCTTCATAGTCCAGCCCTTTCTGACTTCCTTTCTGTCACTGTCTACTCACCTTGTAAAACAAACTATATCCTGGTGTTGACCTTGCAGTGTGCTGTCTGAGCTTTTTTTTTTACGTGATGAGTAATTTTTCTCTTTTCTTCCTTTTTAGAACATATACAAAATGAGACAAGAAGGAAATGACTCTTGGCTTGCCCTGGAAGACACATAAAACCTCAAGGAAGCAACTGTTTGCAATTTGTGGACCAAGAATTACCCGATCAAGCAGATTTCATTGTTGGTCTTTGTTAGGAAATCCTTGATGCATTCACTTATGGAGAACTGGGGCTGAGCTGACTCTCTCCCCCTCTCAGTAATGCTAGCTCTCAGAGTGGAGCAGGGAGGGCGGGGGCTTGATGAGGTCGAACGCCTGCAGAAAGAGGCCTCCACTGCTTGGCAGGGTCGGCCGTCAGGGAGACAAGCCTCCCACGAGCGGCGCGTTAACATTAAGGAAAAGATCTCCCAGTGGGAAGTCCGCAGTCAACAGGGCAGCCGGCAGGATGCTGGAGTGGTCGAACACCCTGCTACTGTGGCTCGAACTTTCTCTGCAGACCTCCCGGGAAACAGCTGCTTCAATGAGAGCTCAAGAGCAGGTTTTTGTGCAAAAGAAACTCACCCAAGAACAAAGAGTGTAGATTTAGATTTTAGGGAATCCCCTGCACGTGTTGGACTTGGTGTGATTGATCGGTTAGAAACTTTGCAGAAATGTCCCACTCAGTTTTCAGCCATACCTCCTGTAAAACAAACACTTGCAACACAGGCATTTGCATCTTCTAAATCGTTATCAAATAACACTTTTTCTACAACTAACTCGGCGCTTTCAGCCAATGGGGTTCCAAAAGTGGAAAGGATTTCAGACGCTGAAAATGTCTCTAAACCTCTACCTCCGTCAGCTGACGACCAAGACGACAACATGCCTGCGGGAAACTTCTACACGTCTCGTGGTTTCTGGCAGAAGCTGGAGGGCGACAGACAGCTCTGGGAGAGTAGCAGGATCTCTGCAGGTGAAGCTCTACCCCCTCCCAAACCTCAGCGTACATTCCAGTATTGTGGAGACAATGTCAACAACACAGAGCTCACGGTTCAGTGGAACAACGGGTCCACTTGTAACAACAACCGCTCCAACATGAGAAGAAGGAGGGTGGCACACCCTCCAAGCTTCCCGCCTCCTCCATGTCCAGTATCAAAGGATGAAGGACTTTCAAGGCATAAAAAGAACAGGTAAGCACTAAAAACAAAACACAAGTAACTATTCATGGAGAAAATAAATCCTGTATTGTTTACAGAAAATCATTTTTATTTGGATGTCGGTTTTTGAGATTGAGGCGTGGGGATAGGGTTTCTGTAAGGTCTTAAAGTCATAAAGGTCTTAAAAATGTCCATTTTAGGTCCCAAAAAGTCTTAAATATCTCCAGATTTTCCATTTTAGGTCCTGAAACACATTTAATTTAATATTAAGTTTGTATGCCCAATTAATTAAATCAATTTAAATTATTACTTCTGTCCTCAACGTCTTGATGCATGCGCAATAATCCAGGTAGATGAATCTTAACAAGGTTAAGTCCGGTCCTCTGGATGGATTCTTCTATGTAGATACATTTTGTCTTTTGTCCAAAAGACTTCTTCAGTCTGAGGACCTACAAGACCTAAACTCCCATTTGCTTCTAAACTACTGGAGAAAATAGTCGAGTCCCAGTTGAAGTGCTTCCTGGAGGATCACGCCATCTTAGAGCTATTCCAATCTGGCTTTAAACCTCTCCACAGCACTGAAACTGCCCTGCTGAAGGTCTTTATCAACATCTTCAGATCCACAGATACTGGTGATTCTGTGCTGCTTGTCCTATTGGACCTCACAGCTGCCTTTGACACCATCGACCATGAGATCCTCATTGCTAGGTTTGAGCAGTGGGTGGGCATCACAGGATCAGCCCTCAATTGGTTCAGATCTTACCTCGCTGACAGATCCTTTTGTGTCTCCATCAAGGATTTTAGTTCCGCAAAGGCAGCTTAAATGGGGGGTTCCGCAGGGGTCCATCCTGGGTCCCCTCCTATTCGCTTTATACCTGCTGCCGCTTGGTGCTATTTTCTGGAAACACAACATGCCCTTCCACTTCTATGCCGATGACTGTCAAATTTACTTCCCCCTAAGACACAATGGCACATGCTCGATTCAACCGCTGCTCAACTGCCTGGCTGACATCAGGGACTGGATGGCTTTAAACTTCTTAAGTTTCAATGAAAAGAAGTCTGAAGTCATGTTGTTCCCTCCCAACGACACAATCACAAACCACTGCATCGACCTTTCCGCTCTAACCCTGTCAGAAAAACAGAGTCACTAATCTGGGCGTGATAATGGACCCTTCCCTGAAACTTAACAATCATGTAAACATGATTGTTAAATCATGCTTCTTCAAACTGAGGCGGCTGTCTAAACTGAAGCCCATATTGTCCAAAAATAACCTGGAGACAGTAATACATGCATTCATTACATCTAGGCTTGATTACTGCAATTCACTCCTGTTTGGTATCAGTCAGACCTCCACTGCACGACTACAACTGGTCCAGAATGCAGCAGCCCGATTTTTAACCAGTACAGGCAAAAGAGAGCACATTACACCAGTTTTGGCCTCCCTGCACCGGTTACTGGTTCACCTTCAAATCCAGTTCAAAATACTCCTGTATGTCTACAAATCACTGAACAGTGTCGCCCCCCCCCCACCCCACCCCCATCTCACTGATCTGCTACAACCGTATGTCCCACCACGCTCCCTGAGGTCAGCGGACCAGTTGCTCCTCACAGTTCCAGGAACTCATCTTAAGCGCAGAGGTGACAGGGCCTTCTCTGTAGCAGGACCAAGACTCTGGAACGAGTTACCTCTGCTTGTCAGACTGGCCCCCTCCCTCTCGGTTTTCAAGTCCCGTTTAAAAACCCACTACTATTCGGTGGCTTTCAACACCAGATAATCTGTGTTTTGATCCTTTATGCTCCACACTGGTTTGTCGTCATGATCTGCATCGTTTTTTATGTCTATATTCTGATTTACCTCATTTTGTATATTGCTTTGTGTGTTACCTGTTGTTCTGTCTGTACAGCACTTTGGTTGGCTTTGTAGCTGTTTTAAGTGCTTTATAAATAAATAAAGTGGTATGGTATGGTACAAGTAAATAGTCTTGTAAACAGCACCTTCTCATAGTGGATCAACCAGTTTACTGGTGACAGACAAAACCTGTTGTTTGCATGCAAAATAAGGACCATCAGCCTAACAACCGATAGTTAGGATGGCTGCTTGCTATTCAGAGGGCTGAGTCATACTTGCAATAATAGCATTGTAAGAGGGTGACAGTTGAACACGGAGGCTTCCACCCCTGTCTAGAGAACCTGTCCATCATTAAATGGGCACGTTTAGGTTCTTTTGGATAAAAGATTAAACAGTTCAACAAAGAGGAACTCATTCAGAGGACCTGACTCAACTTTGTTAGATTCAGTTTTTTGTGAACTTTTTATTTATTTTTCATTCATTCACAAAAAATAACATTCTGACATAAGTTCTCACAATATCACAAGAATTCATGACAAAAATAAAGTAAAATTGCACAATGAATGAAATATAAGTTGCATATATAAGGGGAATCCAACTCACTTCAGTGTCATTTACAAGCAAGCTCAATATTCTTGACATTTTATTGTAGTGGAGTTGTTGACAGTAATCCACCCCCCTCCCTCATTTATTCAAGTACAGTCACACATGACCAACTTCTCAAAGTGTCCATTTTCAGTTGTAAACTTGCAGTCATTTGTTCCATTATGTAGACCCATTTTAGTCTTTTGAGTCCATTCAGTTATGGATGGAGGTTCTGCTTTCGTCCAGTTTACCATTACCATCTTTTTGGCTATTAATAAAAGAATCCTGAAAATGTATTTCTTCTCTGAGCTACATGTTTCTTTATGTATAATTCCCAGCAGAACCACCAGTGTGTCTAATGACATATTTAATTGTAAAATTTTGTCAATTTTCTTTGACATTTTTGCAGAGTCAGTCCCAAAATATATACGGCAGCATGATGGCTCAGTGGTTAGCACTGTTATCTCACAGCAAGAAGGTCCTGGGTTCAATCCTCGGTTGGACCTGGGGTCTTTCTATGTGGAGTTTGCATGTTCTTTTCGTTCTTGCGTGGGTTTTCTCCGGGTACTTCGGTTTCCTCCCATGGACCAAAAACATGCATGTTAGGCTGCCTTCAGGTCCAGGCCTCCCTTGCAATAGAGATCTGTGATCTCAATGGGATTTGCCTGGTTAAATAAAGGTTAATAAAAAATACATTATTTTCAATTTCCAATCAAATTCTTTCCACAATTGACTATTAAGTCCTTTATGACCATTTATACATAAATCTTCCATTTCTTATCCCCAGTTATTACATTTAATTCCAGTTCCCATTTTTCTTTAATGTATACCGTATTATGTTTAATTCATTTCAGTTTATTTATAAAGCGCAAAGTCACAACAGAAGTCATCTCAGGGCACTGAACAAAGACATTCACATTCGTAAAAGTCAATTATTACCATTATTTATCTAAGGAAGCCAGCAGATTGCGTTGTCATCATTTCATCGCAGTCTCCCATCCTTATCAAGCACAAACTAGTATCATATAAATCCTTAATGAGTCTTATAAGTTAAAACATACTTTTAATGAGTCAGTGATCTTCTACAATAGTTAAAAAATACTGCTGTATATTATTTGGATTTTTTCCTCACCATCTTGTTTTCTTTATAATGTCTTATTTGAAAGTATTTGTATAGGTCACAAGAAAGTTAAATCGTGTCATCTGGACAGTTTCATTTTTGGAAGAAACGCTTCGTCTTTCATCCGAAAGACTTCATCAGTCTGAGGCCTGCCAACAGTATTAAATAGCACCTTACTGACATGTTTCAAACCAGTCTGCTGTAGAATTCCCAGAAACTGGCTTTACACATGCAAAATGGAGGATCATCGGTCTAAAACAATCGATCATCGGTGCTTAACAATCAGATGTTATAGGCAAAATGGCTGCTTGCTACTCACCGAACCAGTCTGAGGACAACCTGGCCAAAATGGTTAAAAAGAAAAACGTGTAAGAGTGATGGCATCTTTTGGATGAAAGCTCAAATGTTTCTTCAAAAAAAGAATCTGTCCATATGACATGGTTTAGCTGTTTTGCGATTTATTTAGCTGGATGATTGAGCCTACTTACGGTACTGTTTTTCTATCTGTATTGGTCTGACGGCTAAAATTGTTCCTGAAGTTGGTGAAATGATTTGAGTTCTGTTCCAATAAATAGTAGGTTTATTGTGTTCAGCCCTTTAATGGCCGACTTCTTAAACCTGCTGTCCCACAATGATTGAGGATCTTGAAATAGCCTGATATTGACATAACTCTTGACAGTGACAAAGAGCCCTCTAGCCTTTTTCTGACTGATGTCCAGACCTTCAAGGTATGTTTAATCCATTTATTGTCTATTTTAATGTTTTTTTTTTTTTTAGTTGTACAGATTTCTTACGTAATAAAAGGTTGTGTTGATTAATCTACTCCTTTAGCTGTGCTTTGCTCTGTCTGTACCCACCCTGTTTTTAGATCATTCCTGATTCATGCCACCAGTGCATTCAGTTGTGTAGCACCATAATAAAATGTCAGGTTTGTAGACCCAGACCCTCTTTTTCTTTTGATAATGGAAGAGTTTTGAGTGTTATTCTATCTTCTTTTTTTGCTAAATGAACCGAGAGATGTATTTATTTAATGTGTTAAAGGTGGATATTAGTACTCGTATATGTAGAGATTGAAATAGAAACAGAAACTGAGGTAGAAGGGGATTAATCCTCACCACCTCAACCCTTCCATGCAGTGAGAGAGGAACCTCCCATCATGTTAAACTCTTTTTTTTTCTTTGTCTAATTAGCACATTTTAGTTAGCTTCAAATATTGTGTGGGATTCTTGATGAGCATAATTCCCAAGTACCTAAAACTCTGTCGGGGCCAACAAAACGAGACATTTTCATTTAGCTGTACAGGCCAGTTTCCTGATATTATCATTGCTTCTGATTTGTTTTTGTTAATTTTATATCTTGAGACGTATTGTGAAGGAATTGCATAAGTGCAGGTATGGACTGAAGAGGATTCTTTGTCAAACATAAAATGTCATCAGCAGAAAGGGCTGTCTTGTGTATAAATCCTTCATCTTGTCTCA